AACTTCCATGTCGTATTCATCTCCGTCTGGCTGAATAAGCAAAAATATATACAAATCACTGCACAATTGTTACATTACTTTTAAAAAATGTAGCACATAAGATGGTAATTGACTAAATTCTGCTGTATATACTCATAAAAGCAAAGTGGACCTCCCGTCTCCAAAATTAAAGCTAAATTTAATTTCCCTCGTCTCCCCATTTAAAAAAAAAAGTCCTGTTTCATGTTTAAGACCAGCACTAAATACATAAACATTACCTGGATTCTGCTCCAACTCCTTTTTCAAACTCTGCATGACTTTTACAAAGACTAAGTTATGTTAGGCTCTAATGTAGTGCATGTCAGCTTACGTCTTACTCCCATTAAAGGACTCGTGTCCCTCTTTTTTTAATGTCACAACATGTGCAATAAAAGTCTTAAGGCCAGCCTCAGCGGTGTCGCAGGAAGACATCTGCAGGACAGAAGCAAAACCTTCTGTTCAGTCATATTTTCTGTTACAGGATTCATGAGGGAAGTTTTTCTCATGATCGGACACGTTTGTTTCAGTTTTGTGTCACTTGTCTGTGTACTCTGTCCCAGTTCATCATTTAAAGCTAATTCATTTACTCATTTAATTCATGTAGACTTGTACAATGGCCTGAGCCACAATTTGTTACAAACATTTAAATGTTGCAGTGATTAAAATGAGTCCTTCTCTGTTAACAGCAGTGCTCAGTATAAACAATAAAGAAAAAATGAATATATTCAGTCTAACGAGCTGTTATATCATTAGCTGTGGTAATTGAGGAGCAGTGCATGTGTTTTCAGTATGAAAGCTTCCTTTGGCATCTAAATGATTTTTGATTTGGAAAAGGGTGACTCTAAGAATCCAGTAAATTCTATTAAGTGGAAAGTTACTGTTTAATAGGTTGAAGTTTACAGTGAGCGGTAGCTGGGAGCCATGAACTCTGGCCTCAAACAGATGTGCTTTCAGCACAGTCGGACATCCTGAAGGTGTGGTCATCTCTGCTCATTATTCAACCTGTCTATAGGAAACGATACGGTGTGCATATCTGTTTGATTCTCTGCCTTTAAGAGGAAAAAACATGTATATTTCTGTTCAGGATGGGTTGTACACTCTGGAAATAGAGGGCAAACAGTAACACTGAGCAAAAGTGAGTATAAACCCACTATTTCACTTGATCCTCATCAAGCTTCCAAACCTTTCAAGGTGGCTGCCCCACAACTTCCAGGTTTTCCATATAAATTAAAGGAAACTAAATGAGGGTCCGGAGGATACTGACCAACATCACAACCTTACTGTTTGGACTCTTGTGAATGCCTCATTACGGGCTCAGTAACCAAAATTGTGCTTTAATTTTTTTAAGAGAATTTGATGTTTATGGGTTCAAAACAACTGTCTAAAACATCTGGAAAGTGGGTGTTAGAGCAGCTGGGTATAAAAATCATCTTATCTCTTCGTGTGTGGGTAACCAAGGACAACTTTTTCTTTATTTGGCTGCTTCTCTTATCAGTTTAGCCCGTGGGGGCATCATAGCGCTTTTTAGACTCAGAGGGTTCACAGCATTTTTGAGGCTGTCTACCTAATTTGTCCTTTACCATGAACTGCAGCTTTCTGAATATTGATCCATTCTTGTAAATTCACTAATAGACTTTGCCCATATTCACCAGCATTGACCTGTATGTTTGTCTGTCTGTAACCTGAGAAACTCAGGTCGATGGGATAAAATATCTTATCAACATTTTCACATTGAAATCTTTAAATAGCCTCTTATGATTATGAAGTGTGAACTCTTTCATACTTGGATGTATGAGTATCCTGGTGTTTTCATTCATTTCTGAAATGTTGAGTTGTGTTGAGCATGGATGTGCAGAGGAAAAGCTGCTGTTGTTCATGGCTGTATCAGAAATGTCAGCCGGTTCACAGGAGGGTCGTTGGCATGAGTCAACACAACAGGCAAACAGCACTGTGGACTTTTGAAATCTTTGCAGAATGACGGCAAGGACTACAGTACAAATGATCAGTGTGTCCTCATTAACCCTGTAAATTCACTTGAGATTTATTCAACATCTTTACAGACAATTTGACAGAGAAGCTTGTCTGATTTGACAGTTAAAACAATGAATTATTTCTCATTGGTTGGTGTTTTGTTACATCTACTGGAAATGGCTAATGTATCAAAGGTGCTCTGCTACAAATGAAAGCAAGTATAGAGTCTGTGAGACTTGGACACTTAGAAGAATCTGACTCTTCCTGGGCAGACTGGCACGGGAGTAACTGGTCCTGTTTGAACAGCAGGAGCAACAACCACAGCAGCAGCTGCAGCAGATACATCTCTCTTCCTGAAGTGAAGAGGTTGTTCCTTACTCCATAAAGATTCTCCAGCTGAGTCAGAATCTGCAGCAAGAGCAGGGTCTGCAGCTGGAGCAGGGTCTGCAGCTGGAGCAGGGTCTGCAGCTGGATCTGCAGCTGGAGCAGCAGCAGTAGGGACGACAGGTACAACTTCATCTGATTCTGCTGACTCTGCAGATAACAGGACGTTTTTATGGGGGTTGTGGAGAGCCGTCAGTTTGTGGTGGCTGTGGCCGTGCTTGTGTGACAGGCCGTGTGTGTGCACATGAACCACTGGCGGTAGTGGTTCATGTGCTGCAGCTGCAGTGCTGTTGGCATCTACAATGGGAATCTAAAAAAATGACATCAGTGAGAGAAAAAACAGTTCTTAATGTTTTCTGTGTGAACGTTAGATGGTGAATGTTGTTTTGTCTTCATGAATCAGAACATATTAGAAGTCAGATGCAGTATTTTACCAGAGTGGAGAACATCTTGCAGTCCACACTGTGCTGGGCGATTGTACCTTTGGCTGTACAAATCCCACGAGCCTGGAGAGAGAGGCACAGCTCTCAGTTTTGTTCATTTTCAACATCTGGTGACCTGATTGAACATTTCTCCATCTCAGATCAGATCAACAGGCCTGAAAACAAACTGAGTGCTTTTACTACTGTGTACTCACAGCCATGGCATCGTTGAGAGGCACGCAGGGAACCTCGGTGCAGTTTCCCTCAACAACCACATATTCTGTTATGAAGATGGGCCCACCAGACACAACCTGAGAGTATTAAACAGCACTGATGAACTGAAAGCTGCAGGTTAAAGCATGCAGCTGTGTTACATCTAGTAAAAAGTATCCTGACTGTCTGACCTGTGATGACAACCTTCCAACCTCGAGAAGAACGTGTGTCGTGTTCACAGTCATGTTGTTGAAGGTTGTCAGAGAGGCATGGACAAAATCCAGCGCATCGGTGTTATTGAGGGGAAGGAGGCTGGGGCAGCCCAAACACAAATCCTCTGTGGATACTACAAGTCGAGCAGGAAAGTCACATACAGGTTATTGACACATGCAGTATGTATGGACACTGCTGTGGTTTGTTCTTTGTAATCATTTGGATGAGAGCAGCATCTGTGATACCTTGTTGATTATGGATGGTGTGTTAATTGATATATAATATTGGTAAGGAGGTATATTGAATTTAATTGGGGATAGAGAGATTGTGTTGGTTGGTGTTGGGTGGTGATCGTTTACCTCATAGTATGATGCTGTGTTCTGACATTTGGATGAGCATGCTTATGATTTGCACTTGAGCATCTTCAGAACACCGCCAACCTTCTTCAGCACCACATCACAGTCTCCTTCTACCGCCTGGAAGAGAACGAAGAATCAAAGTAGGTTGATCAGAACTAATATCGACTGAATTACAGGAGTCGAAGCCTGAGAGCTTCTGCGTCTCACCGTCTGTACTTTGGGCCTGACTGTGCAGTTGGCAAGAGGCAGCGGGTCCAACACGTGACAGTCTGTCTCCAGCAGGTCAACTTCCATGTCGTATTCATCTCCGTCTGGCTGAATAAGCAAAAATATATACAAATCACTGCACAATTGTTACATTACTTTTAAAAAATGTAGTGCATAAGATGGTAATTGACTAAATTCTGCTGTATATATTATTCCAGATGCAGGTGAACATATAAGAGCTCCTATTAGCAAAAATAGAGCACATAACTGCTTTTGATTTAGTCTGAAAATGTCCTAAAAAGTTAGAAAGAGAGGGGCACCATAAACAAAACTGTCTATAACATGATGCAGTATGGACTGCTACACTTAGTGTTTATCCTTCTTCTCTGCCCAGTAAACATTATTCTTTTCTACTGTGTTCACACATTTCTGTATGTAACTAAACAGCACCTCCACCTGCTGACTTACCTTCGCGTAGACCTTGATGTCGTCGATCTGGTTCAGTACATACTTGTAGCCATGATGGTGCTGGGCGTTGAGGTAATCCTGCGCCACCAGAGCAGCCTCCTCCGCCTCGGGGGAGTCGCACAGAGGCCTTCGCACGATGGGTTGAGCCCATGTCCCCACCAACAGTCCCAGCACCACAGTGAAGCTCAGGAGATTCATTTCTGTGTGAAATGCAACAAAAATAAGGTATCACAGACGAGCAGACGCTGGTAAAGATGAGAGGCAGAGCTGGTGCAGGTCGCTGCTTATATATCCTGTACTTTAAACATGAAAACAGAGCCAAGTTAAACACCATGTTCATCCCTCCTGACTCTTGCGTCACATGGTGCTGCTCTTTTTTTTTTTTTTTTTTTTTTTTTTAAAGGATAACTGCCAAAGCAAATGGAAACTCACAAAGTCTAGCGTGGGACGAGCAGCCTTTAGTTCAAATCAGTTTTAGTGTCACACTCCTGCAACATATACTGACACCTGTCTCTATGTCTGCCGTGAATATATATCAAATATTACATGTGAGAAGATCTTTGGGTTCACTCGTATTGTGTAACCAGCTGTCTCCCTCAACAGAGGTCACGCTGGTCATCTACAGAGCTGGGCCCCACTGTCAGCAGGGATCTGCGGACTTGCTCAATGATACTAAAAAAAAGAAAAAAACAGGATGTTTGCCAGGTTTTGGGGGGGGACAGCGACCATCTGCTTATTACACCAGTGTCACTCAAGGTCAGCAGCAGGCCGCAAACAGAGATACTGATGAGAAGATTTCAAATGTTTTCTCAAATGAGCAATAAAGTGCAGACTGAGGACCGCCGCAGAGTTTTTCCATTCCCTCT